GAGTATAACATTATAACATGATATAAAACTCAAAAAAATTGATTTTACATCATATTGTCCCTTTAATAAAATTTCTGCCAGTGAGTCATTGAAAATATAAACCAACATTCCTCTCTTACTTTGAAATAAAGCWCCAAACGTCTGATAGAAAGAAAAATGATCTTTTTTTGTCAAATGAAAGTGCTTCACATAGAAATCTGTAATTCATAGTTTTTTTAATATTTACATAGTGTGACATTCGTTTTTGTGCATTTGATTTTTTTGATGATGAGCATTAGCATGTGTTTAATATTGTTGTTTTATTCTCARCATGCTTTTATTTGACAGTTATGGAGCCCTTCTAAATCACTCTTTAATAAAGTCACTTCTGATGGTTCAAACTGGCCTTATTCTTTTCTTATGTAATGGAACCTCAGACTGCAGCAGCTGAATACAGTCATGGTGAAAATGATGGTCAAATGTTAAAGGGGCTATATCATGTAAAATCATCTTTTTTTTTAGTTTTATATCATGTTATAATGTTATCCTCTCATGAAAAACACGCTCAGAGTCTTGCTCTGACTCGTTCATGGATGTTTGAGAAATCCTTGAATCTCCTGARGTCATGAGGAGCGGCCAGAACACATGCTGGTACAAAGCTCCGCCTATTTACACCTAGCTCCTCCCAGGAGCTCAGTCTGCAGCCACACAGAGCACCTTTCACCCAAAGCATTGTTGTGAAGACGTGCTGAAGTGGGAGTGTCAGAAATGGTAGGAGGTTTTTAAAGAGAGAGAGGCAAATGTATTTTTGATAAATGAAGCATTTTTATTCTATAAAAATAAATGTATGATGTATGATTACACACATACTGTACTTATTAGTCATTTTGTCAAAGTTGGTTATTTAAAACATAAATAAACAATCTTATCAGTCTTACTTGTGTGGTTGGATAAAATAACTTTAATTTCTTACAAATAAACTATAAATTATTGTTTAAGTTTTCAGTGATTAATTAATCAGGTAAATAAAAAAATAAAAAC